GACATATTATCAGCTTGCCATAGCGCGACGTGAAAGCCTTACTGAATACAGCTGGCATTAGCCCGGTCTGTCCAGACAAATGCTGGCAACGCATTGGGCCTGAATGCTTGTGTTCCTCCATTGGCCTGTAGACCTCAGCCGAGCTTCCCATTGTCTAGCCAATCCCATCAGAAAGCCGCTTCAAAGCATGTCAGCCAGGAAGTGGGAAGCGCGTCGTGCTGCCAATGGACATGAACAGGAGATGAAAGATGAATGCTGCCAAGACGCCTGTGAATTGCGCTCGTTACAAGAAAATCACAGTCCTGAAAGCGGTCAAGAAAGACAATCGCCACATGAGGAATACCTTGGCGTACATTCTGTGGCACACAGTCGGCTCGCCCTCTAGATTGACTCCAGGTGAGATTGTTCTGAAAGTTTAGCAGCGAGGTGAGATAGAGGAAGTACGTCACGTGGCATAAAGTAACAATCTACTACACGTTGCGGGGTTCTTGGAAGCGCCTAGCTATTGTCCCAGGAGTTGACAAACCTGAGTCAGCCATGGGGACAGTCCTGACTGTCTGCCTTCATCGCAGCAGCTGCACGTGTCTTGCTCATATTTGTATATCATTGCACTCAGTTGCATGGTTGTTGCATCACGCATTCATCCTCACACATTCATCTCAAGTATAACATCGCATCAAAAGCACTGTCACTTGCATGGCTTCAAGGCCCTTCCCTTTGCGCGGCTTCACTCGCATATCTCACTTGTAGCATACCTCACTTATACCATCGCGCCAAAAACCCCGCAACTTGCATCGCTTCAAGGCCCTTTTCTTCGCGGGCCGATTTTGCATCTGATGCCTTAGTCGCACTCGAAACGGGCTTGATCACCACGAACAAGCGTCTTCTTGCAATAGCGCTTCTCACCTTATTATGACAAGTATACCCACCTTTGCGAGGCTGGTAAAGTTGGGTGCCGGGGAAGACGGTTTGTATCACGCCCTCCGTCGTTGACATTTCCGGGATCATCGCCTCTGTTACGAGCGTTGAACTTTATAAATGTTTGTATCTGTCTGCAGGGCATACCTAGGCCAGTGAGCGTAGGGAAAATTGTGTCGTTGCCGATGACTGGCATGTCGGGTGCTTAATTTCAACACACAGACCCGTAGCAGGCTGCCTATTAGCCGATACTTTTTGGAAGGACTGCGAACGCACATTGGATCCAAAGGAAGCATTTAGGATCTAACTTCGCGAGCGAGTCCGCATTGCCATACTTGTATGCTCAATTTGATGCCGAATTCTCGTACATCTCATCAAGCAACCGATTCAAGCATGCGGGGTCATTCTACGGAGTAGTACCGCTCTGTCGCTGTGCGATTGGTCTTGAAAAGCATCATAAGCCAGGTCCACAAGCTCTCATTTGTGAGCTGACCAGTGTGGCAAAGTATTGTCAGGTGTGAGCTCGATGCTGCTTTAGCGAATGTGATCGGGTGATCATTCAGGCAATAGAGTCCCGATGTCTTTTTGAGCTGAGCTGAGGCGAGCGGTTCTCGTTGAGTGATTTGTTGTTCCGCAGCAAACCGCAGTGAAACGTAAAGCGTTGATAGTCTCTTAGACGCGAGTGAGATATTGAACTTCTCCATGCGCTCGGCCGGAGCGCGCTGCTTCTGTTTTGGTTCCGTTTACTGTTTTTCCTGCACCAACGGCTAGCAGCTACGCGGCGCTCTCAATCGAAAGATCACCCCACGATGGTGGATTGAATTTCTGTTATGCTTGTATGGAGTTTCTCTACAAAGCTTTCCAAACATCCACGCGCTCGTATTTGTGCAGGATTTTTGACGGAGGGCTCCTTGACGATGAACCGCTTTCTGAGCTCTTTCGATATATACTGTCTGCCTATTGATCTGAGGGCTGGATGTCACAATGTTCGGCCTCATTCGAAGACCAACATCATTTTTTGACTGTCTTATCGCCCCGTTTTTCCGCGGAAGAGGCTTTGCAGTGCTGATTCTCTGCAAGACTTTCAGCTCTAGCGAGTACTCAACGCAAACGAAGATTCATCCACCAATGGTCTTTTCGTATCTTTTTCCACTTGCGTACACGGACAGACCTTGCGAACCAGCTCTGCCAGTGCGAGACCACCGCCTCTATCCCGACGTTCATCCCTACGTCGACGCTACAGATGCCTTTTTCAGTCATTTTAGTCTTTCACGTCGCATCGATTTCAAAGGTATCATATTCGAGAGTGGTATCAGTCTAGCGATGCGCCAGTGAGACAGCACGTTGAAATTTGTTCATTGAAAA